CTCATTGATCTCTGTCGGAGCAACAAATGGCTGAAGCTGAGTAGAGGACACCGTCTTAAAATAAGACCTATTCAGCCATCTCATTTTGCTCCTTTACTTACCTGACTCTAGGCAAAAAACTTGAAACCCCTAAAATATAGATTGGAGGCAGTGAGGCAAATGGTACTGACTCAGCTGTGGGCACTTGGGAACTTGGGCTAAGACAGTTCAGAGGAAATGGAAAGGTGGACATCAGAATAAAAACCTGAGACCTGGTAACTAGTGACATTGGTTAAGCTTGGAGACAAGACAGGGTAGGAAACATGAGGCTCAGGAGAGGCGAGAAAAAAAAGGAGTAAAAGGGATGGCCCCCAGATTTCTAAATCTAGTTGACTTAGAGAGTAACAATAGCTTTGATTGGAATATGAAAACCCACAGGGCAATGCGGAGTGAAAATAAGATTATCTTTATTGTTTGTTTGTTTATTTATTTGAGACAGAGTCTTACTCTGTTGCCCAGGCTGGAGTGCAGTGGCGTGATCTCAGCTTGCTGCAGCCTCCGCCTCCCAGGTTCAAGCAATTCTCCTACCTCAGACTCCTGAGTAGCTGGGATTACAGGCGCCCGCCACCACACCTGGCTGATTTTTTTGTATTTTTAGTAGAGACAGGATTTCACCATGTTAGCTATGCTGGTTTCAAACTTCTGAGCTCAAGTGATCTGCCCCTCTCTGCAGACTGTAGAGCTCTTTCAACTATGGGATAGTAAAAGGTTACAAAATGAACACTTATTTTGGAGAAATTCTTGTAGGTTTTTAGCCCAAAGTGCTGGGATTACAGGTTTGAGCCACCGTGCCCAGCCATTATCTTGATTTTTTATTTTTCTTTTTGAGACAGTGTCTTGCTCTGTTGCCCAGGCTGGAGTGCAGTGGCACACTCGGTTCACTGTAACCTCTACCTCCCCAGTTCAAGTGATTCTCCTACCTCAGCCTCCTGAGTAGCCAGGACTACAGGAGCCTGCAACCACACCTAGCTAATTTTTGTATTTTTAGTAGAGATGAGCTTTCACCGTGTTGATCAGATTGGTCTCAAATTCCTGGCCTCAAGTGATCCACCTGCCTCAGCTTCCCAAAGTATTGGGATTATAGCATTTGAGCCAACATGCCCAGCCAATTATCTTGGTTTAATAAGGTGTTTTTTTTTTTCCTGCCTCCCACCCTCCCTCTCTCCCTCCCTTTTTCCCTCCCTTCCTTCCTTCCTTTTTTTCTTCCTTTCTTTTTTCTTTTGAGATAAGGTGTCACTGTGTCACCCAGGCTGGAGTGCAGTGGTGTGATCATGGCTCACTGCAGCCCTGACCTCCTTGGCTCGAGCAGTCCTGCCACCTCAGTCTCCAGGTAGCTGGGACTACAGGCTCATGCCACCATGCCAGGCTAATTTTTAATTTTTTGTAGAGACAAGGTCTGGCTATGTTGCTCAGGCGGTTCTTGAACTCCTGGGCTCAAGTAATCTCCCACCATGTCCTCCCAAAGTGCTGGGATCACAGGTGTAAGCCACTGTGCCTGGTCAGGTTTTATTTATTTATTTTTTTTAAAGACTGGGCTTCACCATGTTGGTCAGGCTGGTCTTGAACTCCCGACCTCAGGTGATCCGCCCGCCTAGGCCTCCCAGAGTGCTGGGATTACAGGCGTGAGCCACCATGCTCGGCCCCAGTTTTATTTTTCACGCTGTTCACTTTAAAGGCCACACTTGTGATCGCAACACTTTGGGAAGCTGAGGCAGGAGGAGGCTGACTTGAGGCTAGGAATTTGAGTCCAGCCGAGGCAACATAGCGAGACTCTGTTTCTACAAAAGATTTAAAAAATTAGCTGGCTGGCACACGACTATAGTCCCAGCTTCTCAGGAGGCTGAGGTGGGAGGATTGTTTCAGCCTGGGAGGCTGAGGCTGCAGTAAGCTATGATGGCATCACTTCGCTCCAGCCTGGGCAACAGAGTGACTCTGTCCCCACAGAAAGAAAACAACTCCTAATGAATTGAAATTATTATGTTTTATCTCTTAAACACAAAAGAATCCCCAAATAACTAAGTTGCTTTTTAGTTGCCTATGAACCATTTATACAAAAAGTGTTCCTACTCTTGTGCAAAATATGGAAATCTATTTATTTAATCATTCTAGTTATCCTTGGTTATTTCACTTGACATCTCCAGAATGGGTGTAAAATTATTTTCAAGAAGTTTAAAATAAATTAAGAAAGATGGACTGAAACATACCCTGCCAAATCTCATTTACTTTTCAGGCCCCGGGACAGTCAGTTCATTCCTGTCCTTTTAGTCAGCTAAAATTCTGTAAGGAAAATAGCATATTTCATTTTTACACAATACTGCAGTGGTCCAATTTTTTACAGTTTTGAATTTAAAGTGATATGATAGAATAGAATTTCAGTCTGTAGAGCTCTTTCAACTATATGATAGTAAAAGTTTACAAAATGAACACTTGTTTTGGAGAAATGCTTGTAGTTTTTTAGCCTAAGTGAGACGGTATAGTTTTCTGGCAATTCATACTAAGAAAAGAACATTTTCTTTCTTTCTTTCTTTTTTAAAGACGGGGTTTCACCATGTTGGTCTGGCTGGTCTTGAACTCCCGACCTCAGGTGATCCGCCCACCTTGGCCTCCAAAGTGCTTGGATTACAGGCATGAGCCACCATGCCCGGCCAAAAAGAACATTTTCATGTCCTTATAACATCCAGAAAAATTTAGGATTTGTATAAAACAATCAAATTGACATTGCTTGGGTTTTTTGTTTTTTTTTTTTTCTTTTGAAACAGGGTCTCACTCTGTCACCTGGGCTGGAATGCAGTGTTGTGATTTTGGTTCACTGCAACCTCTGTCTCCCAGTTTCCAGTGTTTCTCTCACCTCAGCCTCCAAGTAGCTGAGGCTACAGGCGTGCACCATCATGCTCAGCTAATTTTTGTATTTTTAGTAGAGACAGGGTTTCACCCTGTTGGCCAGGCTGGTCTTGAACTCCTGGCCTCAAGTAACCTGCCTGTTTTGACCTCCCAAAGTCCTGGGATTACAGGCGTGAGCCACCACACCCAGCAAATTATCTTTCTCATGTTTTAACTTCATCCTTAAAAATTTAAGATTTGTTACTTGGTATACTCTTAGGACAAATTAAAAAAATAAGATAAAATTTAAAAAATTAAGGTTTGTACAATAAGACAAAGCTGACATTCCCTAAATTATATCATTTTAAAAATTCCTGAACACACAGAGAAAGACCATGAGTATGTTTGGATTTCAGAGCTGAAGAACAGGCACAGTCACCTTCACAGGAAAGCTCAGGATGAACCTGTGCGGTTAATATTCTGCCAAGTTTTAGTTGAGACATTGATTATGATTCACAGCCAAATACGACTCATTGCTATAAACGCTATATCTGAAATGATGTCATTAGCTTTTTGAGTTTTATGGCAGAGAAGACAGTGATATTTTACCCTAACTAGTAAATTAGCATATTACAGTTATTCTTAACATATACAAGTGCATACGATGTGATTAGTTTAAATATTGACACTCACATTCCTTTAATTTGTAATGTTCTTTAAGACATAGTCCAGCCAGAGGATCACTTGAGCCAGGAGTCTGAGACCAGCCTGGGCAACATGGTGAGACCCCCACCTCTGCAGGGTAAAAAATTAGCTGGGCACAGAGGTATGGGCCTGTAATCCCAGATACTTAGGAGGCTAAGGTGGGAGGATCGCTTGAGCCCAGGAGGTTGAGGCTGCAGTGAATCATAATTGTGCCACTGCACTCTAGCCTGAGTGACAGAGTGAAACCCTGTCTCAAAAAAAAAAAAAAAAAAATAGATCCTCCCATAGGGAAGCCTACAAGCCAATGAACGATAGGGGCCAAGGGAAAACTCCCTCTTTGCCCTCTAAAGGTTTGCCGAAAAATCAGCTCATGAAAGACACTAATTGGAGAAAAGGCATAGAAATTTTACCTGGGGTAGGAACCACAGAGTGATTACTTACCCCACAGAGGAGTTTCTAAGCTTATATACCATCCTGGAAAAAAGATTGTGGGAAGGGGAAGAAGAAGCATTCTCTTAGGGAATTAGTAGAGAAAATGAATGATAGGGGAACAGAGCTTAATGTGTACGTTAGCTCCTGAAAGGGTCTCTTCAGATGTGGTTACATTCTTGGTCTTACAGGAAGAATAAGAAAAAAAATTGTTCCTCCACAGGCACTTTCTCACAAAGATTAAAAAGTAAAAGAAAAAAAGAAGAAAGAAGAAAAATAAATAAATAAAAAAGTGTTCCTAGCCAGGCGCGGTGGCTCAAGCCTGTAATCCCAGCACTTTCAGAGGCCGAGGCGGGTGGATCACGAGATCAAGAGATCGAGACCATCCTGGTCAACATGGTGAAACCTCGTCTCTACTAAAAATACAAAGCATTAGTTGGGCATGGTGGCGCGTGCCTGTAATCCCAGCTACTTAGGAGGTTGAGGCAGGAGAATTGCGTGAACCCAGGAGGCGGAGGTTGCTGTGAGCCGAGATCACGCCATTGCACTCCAGCCTGGGTAGCAAGAGTGAAACTCCATCTCAAAAAAAAAAAAAAAAAAGTGTTCCTTTTGGTGGGTCTGGATCTTAGGCAGTCGAAGGAACTTCAGCTTGATCTGGCGCTTTGGGAGAGATGGTGGGGAGTGTGGTCAGAGAAACTTTGAAGCTTCTTCCGTTCAGCACATCAAAGCACTACATATTAGGGTATTGGTTTCTGAGCCCCAACAAACTCAGAGCGTACAATCGGCCTCTTATTGCTATATCTCAAAGTGCAAGCAGTCAGGCAAGGATCACTTAATTCTTGAGGATCAAATCACGTATATAATTAAATAGGAATAAAAGGAACCTGTAGGACATTAATACAGCAGAAGAAAAAATGTTTAAAGCCCCTGTAATTAATAGCCTCAGTGTGTTAGGAATATAGTACATCCATGAAACAAAAACAAGATGCCATAAAAAGAAAATTTAGCCGGGCGTGGTGGCTCACGCCTGTAATCCCAGCACTTTGGGAGGCCGAGGCGGGTGGATCACGAGGTCAAGAGATCGAGACCATCCTGGTCAACATGGTGAAACCCCGTCTCTACTAAAACTACAAAAAATCAGCTGGGCATGGTGGCGCATGCCTGTAATCCCAGCTACTCAGGAGGCTGAGGCAGGAGAATTGCCTGAACCCAGGAGGCGGAGGCTGCGGTGAGCCGAGATCGCGCCATTGCACTCCAGCCTGGGTAACAAGAGCGAAACTCCGTCTCAAAAAAAAAAAAAAAGAAAAGAAAATTTAAAACTTGCTGGGACCACAGGTATGAACCACCACACCCGGTCGAGAATTTGACCAGCTGAGCCTAGCGCAACTGATAAAATTGTGAGCAAGTAAAGTGGTTCCTCTCTATATTTCTTTTGTCTTCTTCAAGGTTGTTATTTTGAGCTATTATGTTTTGGGGTAGTTTGTTGTGCAGTAATAGATAAGAGAAAGAGTCACTTCAAGAAAGCTTCTCTGGCTGGGTCCAGTGGCTTATGCCACTGTGGGAGGCTGAGGCAGGAGGATCACTTGAGTCCAGGAGTTCAAGACCAGCTTGGGTAACACAAGGAGACCTCTGTCTCTACAAAAAAAAATATTAGCTAGGTGTGGTAGCACGCATCTCTAGTCCCAGCTTCGCAGGAAGCTCAGGTGGGAGGATTGCTTGAGCCAAAGAGGTCAAGGCTAGAGTGAGCCATTATCACATCACTGCTCTCCAGGCTGGACGACAGAGCAAGATCCTATCAAAAAAAAAAAGGAAGAGGCCGGGCGCGGTGGCTCAAGCCTGTAATCCCAGCACTTTGGGAGGCTGAGGCGGGTGGATCACGAGGTCAAGAGATCGAGACCATCCTGGTCAACATGGTGAAACCCTGTCTCTACTAAAAATACAAAAAATTAGCTGGGCATGGTGGCGCGTCCCTGTAATCCCAGCTACTCAGGAAGGCTGAGGCAGGAGAATTGCCTGAACCCAGGAGACGGAGGTTGCGGTGAGCCGAGATCGGCCATTGCACTCCAGCCTGGGTAATAAGAGCAAAACTCCGTCTCAAAAAAAAAAAAAAAAAAGGAAGAAAGGAAGAAAGAAAAAGGAAAGAAGGAAGGAAAAAAAAGAAAGGAAAGAAAGAAAAAACAAAGAAAGAAAACAAAAGAAAAGAAAAGAGAGAAAAAGAAAGACAAAAAATTAAAATCTTAGTTTTTGAGACAGGATTTCACTCTGTTCCTCAAGTTGGAGTGTGGTGGCACAATCACGGCTCACTGCAGTCTCAACCTCCCAGGCTAAAGTGATCCTCCCACCTCAGACTCCCAAGTAGCAGGGACTACAGGAGTGCACCACCATGCCCGGCTAATTTTTTTAAAAAAACATTTGTATTGATGGGATCTTCTCATGTTGCCCAGGCTGGTCTCAATCAACTGCACTCAAGTGACACTTCCACCCCGGCCTCCCAAAGTGCTGAGATTACAGTCTTTCTAAGGAAAAAAACAGGTCACAGGTCACATGCAAAGCGTCAATTGGAATAGTATCTGAAATCTCAGTTTGAAGCTAGAGGACAATGAACAATGACTTCAAAATTTCAAGGGTAAATTAATTCCAACTTAGAAGTCTGTTTCCTACCAAACTGTCAATCAGACATAAGAGTAGAATAAAGATCTTCCAAACACATAGCACCTCAAGAAATGTATTCCCCATGCAGTCTTTTTCAGGAAGCTACTGGAAGAAGTGCTTCACTGAAGAGAGTAAACCAAGAAAGAATAAGACATGAGATCTAGGAGGCATGAGAGCTCACTCGGGAGAAGCGTGAAAGGAATTTCCAGGGGGAGGGTCAGACGCAGTCTCCCTGTGGCATCTGTACAAAAGGGCCAGAGAGCGACTAGCCCAGCCTGCAGCAAGAGGACAGATGAGTCCCGGGGCAAGGGGAAGGTTTCAAAGAACAAGATAAAATTGCTGGAATTCTCAATATGTTTGCAGAACTTGAGAAGAGATGTACGCTTCTGGCAGAGACCTTGGGGAAGGATAAGCGCCGTAAACAAAGCGGGTAAATAAAAAATGAGGTCAAAGAAAAGAGTGTAGGAGAGCAAGAGATCACCTCCGGTTCCTCTGTGGGTCTTATATGGGTTCTTCAGCTGGTTCTAGAAACCAAATTGACACCACACAGATTAACAAGAGAAAATCATACAAATTCATTAGCTTTGTTTTGTTTGAGACAGAGTTGCCTTCTAGCACCCAGGCTGGAGTGCAGCGGTGAGTTCTGAGCTCACTGCAACCTCCATCTCCTAGGTTCAAGTAATTCTCCTGCCTCAGCCTCCCAAGTAGCTGGGATTACAGGCGTGCATCACCATACTCAGCTAATTTTCTGATTTTTTTTGAGGTTTCACTATGTTGGCCAGGCTGGTCTCAAACTATGGACCTCAAGTGACCTGCCCTCCTTGGCCTCTCAAAGTGCTGGAATTACAGGTGTGAGCCACTGTAATTCATTAGCTTTATACTTGAGGATCTTCACAAGAAAGTAAAGTCCAAAGAAATGGCCAAAGCAAGATGTTTTTATACTTTTGGGACAAAGAATGATAAATCTGAGAAGAAAGCACAGGACAAAGGCAACCTGGCTAGGAGCAATACATTTGGAGGAGTGTCACTAGGAGGTATATGAAAGATAAGGGTGATTTCTGTAAGTACCTTTGTCAGGTACATTGCCATTCCCACTCTGAGATGACGGGTCTTTTCTGAGCCTGCTGCAGGGAGAGTGCCCCTCCCAGAGGAATGTTGATGGCTTGCTGCATGCAGGAGGAGACCAGTCAGCTTGCTCTTTCTTCAACTCAAAGTAAAAAAAAAAAAGTGGGGGGGAAGTACAAGAAATTGTCTTCATAGCACAACTCATTATACATGTAAACAAAAATATCAATAGAATCCTAACTTATGACACAACTGTATTAAGAGGATGGGAAAGGAGAATATATGTATATGTTTAAATGTCTTTAGATGATATTCTGGGTAATAATAGAGTGAAAAACCTCATCTTCATACTACAATAAAGTCATCAGTTTATATCTAAAACCAAAACATAAAAATATATCACTATACGAGCAGGGAGCAGTGGCTCATGCCTGTAATCCCAGCACTTTGGGAGGCTGAGGTGGGCAGATCACCTGAGGTCAGGAGTTCAAGACCAGCCCGGCTAACATGGTAAAACCCCATCTCTACTAAAAATACAAAAAAATATTAGGTGGGCTTGTCAGCTGCACTTCCCATAATCCCAGCAATCCCAGCCCTTTGGGAGGCCAAGGCTGGTGGATCACTTGAGGTCAGGAGTTTGAGACCAGCCTGACCAACATGGTGAAATCCTGTATCCATTAAAATAAAAAATTAGCCCGGTATGGTGGCAGGTACCTGTAATCCCAGCTACTAAGGAGGCTGAGGCAGGAGAATCACTTGAACCCAGGAGGCAGAGGCTGCAGTGACCTGAGATTGAGCCACTGCACGTCATCATGGACAACAGAGCAAGACTCTGTCTAAAAAAAAATATATATATATATATATATATATATACATATATACACACACACACACACATATGTATATATGTATCACTATATGCATTTTATTTTAAAATATGAAGGTAAACACTGAAGGAAGAAAAAGGGTTGAAAGATTGTCCGTGTTAGGAGGGAGCAGACAGAAAGCAAGGGTGGTCAGAGGGAGTCATGAAGACCTCTGGGGTTGTTTTAGACCTGGTGGTACTTACTTTACTTAAAACAACAAATGATTTTTAAATTTTTCTTTTTATTTATTTATTTATTTATTTTTTTGAGACGGAGTTTCGCTCTTGTTACCCAGGCTGGAGTGCAATGGCGCGATCTCGGCTCACCGCAACCTCCGCCTCCTGGGTTCAGGCAATTCTCCTGCCTCAGCCTCCTGAGTAGCTGGGATTACAGGCACGCGCCACCATGCCCAGCTGATTTTTGTAGTTTTCAGTAGAGACGGGGTTTCACCATGTTGACCAGGATGGTCTCGATCTCTTGACCTCGTGATCTGCCTCGGCCTCCCAAAGTGCTGGGATTACAGGCGTGAGCCACCGCACCCGGCAAATTTTTCTTTTTAAAAGAGAGGATGTCACTCTGTCAGTCTGGAGTGCAGTGGCACAATCACAGCTTACTGCAGCCTCAACCTCCTGGGTCCAAGTGATCCTCCTACCTCAGCCACCTGACCCAATCTCAAAATGAAAATAAAAATTTTTTAAAAAATGAATAAATAAGTGTATGTGATGCTGAAGTAAGCATGTCTATTTAAGTCCTGGAAACTCCTTAAATTTAAGTCCTTAAATGTCTGTTCCCCAAATTCATATGTTGAAATCCTAACCCACAAAGTGGTGATATTAGAAGTGTGGAAAGTAAAAAAATTCTTCTTTAAAGTTTTATTTTTTGTTAAAAAAATGAGTTTGCTAACAACTTTGTTAAGCCCTGTCCTATGTAGCTGTTAGATATGTCATGCTTACAGGCATGTAGTACATTCTATGTCCTTGTACTTTATTATTTATTTATTTATTTATTATAAAGACGGGGTTTCACCATGTTGGTTAGGCTGGTCTTGAACTCCCGACCTCAGGTGATCCGCCCGTCTTGGCCTCCAAAGTGCTTGGATTACAGGCGTGAGCCACCACGCCTGGCCCATCCTTGTACTTTAGCAAAGATATCTGTGCTAGACGTGCTCACAGGCATGTTCCAGCTTTTCATTGCCTCTACCTGTACAAAAAAGTTTGAACTTTTTAGCCAATTGGGTTTTAGTTTAAATTGTAAGGTCTGGCTCCAACTAACGAAGATTAAACACAGCAGTAAGGACAACCCCAAATGGGAAGGGATAAATTTATCTGTTTTCCTTTATTCGTTGTACTCTTGTGGTAAAATGGCTGGTAAAAGTACCCTTCCTGCAGTCCAGGAAGTAAAAATTGCATTGCTAAAAGATCCTTTGTCTCAGTGCTAAATTTTCTTTGCGCCACCAAG